TCTTATTTCAGAGTAAATGAATTGGAAGTATTTTTGAATCTTGTCCTGGTGCATATTTGGCTGCCTTAACCTTCATTTGCAAAGGTAGGAAGTGCTGCTGGGCTTGTGTTTCGTGCTGGATATTTGTGGCTGAAGGAAGCTTAAAGCACCAATGGGGCCAATGTCTTGTGGCTGTTCCCTTCTGCTTGCTTTGATTTTTCCTCCAGAAATTCAGATATAAAGGTGGGGTCAGCCAAATTCAAGGAAACTCTTGCAAATGGAGAAGTTGCTTGTGTACCTCGTACAGGTACCTAATCTCCTTTAAAGTATTTGTAGGAAAAATACTGATTTGACTGACTGGCTTGTTTTGGACTAGAGTAGATTTCAGTACTTGTCGCCAACACCGTTCACAAGCAACAGAAACTTAGGAAAAAAAATTGTAGGAAACTGTTAGGGAGATCATGTGTGACCTTAGAAGTGCTGCAGGGCACCTCGGTGCAGTATCTGGTCCCTTCACCAATCCATGACCTCTGCTTGGCCCCTACTGACACCTAACCAAGGGACTTACTTACCTGAGAGTCTTTAGGCTTGCCGTGGGTATGAGTGCCTTTCCTAGGCTTGGGGGCTCCGTAGGACAGAGGTGCTGCTGGCAGCATCAAGCTCTTGTTGCGTCCATTCAGAGGAAAAGCAATGCCCCAAAAGCACATTAGAAAGGTGATTGGTACTGCCCTTGTGCTTGGAGTGTTGCCAGTAGATGAGCTTGGTAAAACATGATGTTGCGTTTTTTCCATACAACAAATGTTCCTTAGTGAAGGCAGGCACTGGTCAGTTGTGATTTTGCCTGTTGGACTGGATGAGGAGCTTCCTCCTCTCCCATTCCCCTGGAGTGGTTCCAGCATGCTACCAAGTGAAAATAGGCCTCACAAACTTCATTTTCAGCTGATAGAATGTGGAATTTCCTTCTAAACTCTTTAAGGACTAGCAATCCTTGCAAAGAAGTCAAATACAGAGAGGCTGCTGCTTGCCATGAATATAGCTTGAAATGCCCCATGAACACGTATCTGTCAGAATCCCTTCTCAGCCTGTATGTTGGTAGGAGCCACTTTCAAACTGGATCCTCTTTGCTATCGTCAGCTGTTACAGCTCTTACCTCCTTCAAAAAATAACACCAACTTCTTCCATCCATGGTGCTAGACGCCATCTCTGCGCGGTTACACCCAGTACAGGGCTTTACAGCAGCACTCAGAACTGCTGTAACTAAGTTTGAGATTGTTTTTTACGAGGGTTTGACAGCGAGAGAAGCAATGGACTCACTGCCCATTTGAGAGTGAGCATGGTAATCACAGAGCATCTCTGCTTTAATGTTATCTGTTTCAGTATCTTAATGCTTCCCGGGTTTCACTTAGTGGCTGGAGCCAGGTGTCAAGGATTCCCTTGTGTGCAGTCTCTGCACTTGATGGACTGGAAGCTATTGGCAAGCTGAACAGTTCAATCCAGAGACGCTTTTCCAGTAGGATTCTCATCGTGAAGGGGAAGGTTGCTGTTTGATGCTCTTATTTCCCTTGCTGCCCCATGTGGTGTGCAGAGAAACCCGATTTCCATTCTCTTCTTTGGTGAAACAAGCTAAACCCTCTCTCTCTCATCTTTCAGGAGATAAATATCAATTAAAAGCCTCTTATAGCTGCCAAGCCTGTGCAGGATTTGCTCTAAATACACATGCTTCTTTCTAGGCTGTGTTGACTGCTGATTTATTTACTTACTTTTGTCAGGTAGAACTCCCAAATGGGATATTTTAAAGCCTTTATAGAGCAGAAACAGCAGGCACAAGAAGCTGCATTGCCAGTAAGGAAGTCTGGAATGATTGAGAGGATTCCTAATTTTGGCAAATAATGGCTAAACGAGGGCACTCGCCCCAGCTAGGTATGTTTGGGTGGAGAGCTGATGTTCTGTAAATTGTATCTCCACCACGTCTCACCTGCAGTGCTTCAGTTACGCTTCACTGTGCCCCAACCTAGAGATGTTTTTGGTGTTGTGTGTGAGGCACTGCAGAGTGTATTAAATGAAATATGAATATGCTTCACTGTGCCCTTGTGCTGTCATGCACAGCACAACCTAGAGATGTTTTTGGTGTTGTGTGTGGGGCACTGCAGAGTGTATTAAATGAAATATGAATAACAACTGGGAATGAAACTCTGTTGAACTAATGAGTGGGTTGCAATGGTCTTCCTTCCATGCAGTATTTGGAAATTTTCCTTTGTCAAAGTCAAGACTACACTTTTTGCCCATTTATCATGGATAAATCGAAAGGATCTCACCAGCCTAAACCTGCAAGGCAAGAGAGCCTGGGAGCAAGGGAGGCAGCAGAACCACACAGGATAATTTTAACAAGTCCGTTTGGGCTGAAGTTTGGGCTGAAAGCATTTTTCTCTCTGCTGGAAAAGGCAAACTTAGTATGAGGTACTCGCATCGTCTGCTTCAAGCATCTGAAATAAAACCCAGGAGTAAAGGTGGGAGCCCAGGTTGCCTGTAGAGCCACTGTTAAGAAGCAGGACTGCCTGGGAGGAGGGACAGGGATGTTCAGTCCACCAGAGGAAGGTATCTCAAGTAGAAAGTGTAAACGTGCTGCGTCTGTACACTGTAGAAAACTGTTTCCTATCAACCTGATTTGTGTGTGTGTGCATGGCATGCAGAAGCACCGCCTGCCCAGTCAATGAGGAGGGCAGCGCGCAGCCAACGGCTGTACAAACAGCCCAGGGGAGCTTTACATCGGTGTGGGTGGAGTTGGTGTGTAAAGTTGTTTCTCAGACCGAGGTGAATGTCCCAAGAGCTCTCTGGAAATGTTTCACAGAAAAAGTAGTCTCAGCCCCTTCCAAGCAATTTGATGCCTTAAATAAAGGGGATCGGAGACAGCCTGATAGTAAAATTTGTTTATTTACAGTGTTATGTATTACAGGAAAATCAGTTTAAAAAGTCAATGCTTCTCTTTCTTCGAAGTTGCAGCATTTTGAAGATGTTAAGACAGATCTGAAGAATTTAAAACATACCTGATTCCAGCCTTCCTGGCCAGTCTGGATCTGCAAGGTGAGACCATCTTGGTTGTTTCCCTACCCCATCCCCCCAGCCCTTTGAGTTTCAAGTAAGGCATTTATTTCTTTCCTTTTCTTTTGAATGAGGTTTCAACAAAACAAAAGACAATATCTGTGGGTTTGGTTGCCATAGTAAACTTTAACACCTAGCATGCTGACATTGTCCACCTTGATAGTCAAATGCATGCTTTGCCATCAAAAGGTTATGGGCTCCGCTCAGCCTAAAATCCACGCTGGGCCACGCAGCCGTTTTGTTGCCTGCCTTAGATGAATGGTTCAGCTCGTGGCCTTGTGTGCTATCTTGTCAAAAGTGCTTGAATATTGCAGTTATTTTGGTTCATGATGATGCAATTTAGCAGCCTGGCTGCTCAAATGTACTGCCTGCGCTGCAGCATTGCAGGGGGACTTTGGTTTTCTGCTGGAGCAGAAAGGTTTTGTCCACGTTGTAATGGAGCAGGAACTGGCTGGAGGCAGATGGGATCCAATGGGACTTTCAAGTGCAAATTTAAACTGAGCTCTGACCTGAGACAGCCTTCTCCATGCCACTCTCTCCTCCTGCTTTTGCTGGACAATGCCATCTGTTCTTCCCCTGTCCTGTACCACTTCCTCAGCCCCTTCCCTTCCTATCCAAGAGATTTTGAAGTGGCCTAAATGCGAAAAGGATGAGGGCAGATCCCCAGAGCTAATATTGGGTATTCTTCATTTCTAAGGGGGAGGTAAATGCAGCTAACTGAAGCAGAGAAGATGGTGACTGAGTATGTTCAGACACCCCGTTACAGCTGCAGACAGAAAA